AATCAACACTACCTCGATCGCATCTTGCAGCATCATATTTGAATTAGCAAAGAAATATCCAGAATGTTCAAGTAAACACGCGGAAGGTACCGATCGTTCGAGTTTCGACTAGGCGCTGTCAGTTGAGCGATTTGTGATGTCATTTTCTCAATGCTCCCCTCGCTCTCGTTCCTGACACTAGATGGCGCTAGTTGACTTATTCATGCAACAATATATTTTTACTATTTACTACAAATTTATTATGTGTTGTTCTTTTTGCATTGTTTATACATTTTTTAACAGTTTATCGTATTTTATATATTTAGTTCGATCAACATTTTTTTCTCGTCATATAGAACTTGCACCGAAGTTTGTACACAATTTGAATTAAGTAGATGAGACGAATTTTTAAAATTTATTTTATAATTGCGCCGTATTTGTGCATAATGATTAATGACCAAAAATATCTTGATTATGTTAACGTTTTGTGTATAACAATAAAGTATTAGATAATTTAAAATTTTGTTGCATAATACATAGTATATTTTAAAGTATAGATTTATAAAATAGTCTAGAAAATTAGTTACTGACCTTTTTGTAGAAGTAAATGTGCGAACAACATGCTCATATATAGGTATCCCCCATATACCAGTACAAAAATGTAATAATAAAAATAAATGATAAGAAAATAAAAATAAAATTAATATCAAATTTCTGTTACAAATTGTTCTAAAGCTTAATTTTTTAAGATCCTGTAGTGAGCGTATTGATATGACAGGAGATGAGTCAGTTTTTCGTACCAAAACTGTACCATTCTTGTACCAAACATATTTGCAGTTACATGTTTTGGCCTTTTCGCGGGATTCTCTAAATATCTGTTTTTTTTTAAGGTTAGATGTTCATTTATATATATTTCATTCGATGATTCAGTAATAGACAACTGATCTGAAGTTAAGCCTTTTTTTAGCACGGTACGAAGCAACAAAGTTATCACGCAAAATTTTGGACTTAAAATTTTATTATGGCATTTTTAGGTCGTTTATCATTTTCACCAACATGAGGAACCCGATTAGCCAAGATTATGTCAGATGGTTGTATTTGCTGGTTTATTAGCACGCCAATATTAATAATGACTGTAACAAGATTCTCTCCATGGCGCTCAGGCAAATTTGATATTTCAATGTTACAATCACGTGCCTGTTGCTCCATTGCAGCCAGTTTGGTCTCCATAACCTCTAATTTGTCAGATAAATAGTTGCCTTTAGAGACTTTACTTTCTACGGACTTAAGCCGTGTATCAAACGATATTGACTGCTCATTAAGATCGGATAAAGTTGAATCAACCTCCGACAGATGATTATTTAAATCCGTAATACCTTGTTTTAAATTAATGTTCTCATCTCGCAGCTCGGATATGGTGTTTAGACTTGATAATGAGTGGGATATTTTAGCCAATTCGTTGGAAATCGTGGAAGTAACTACATTTGTAATAGTTTCCTTAATTTTTACGTCTAATGTATTAAAATGTTCGTCAATCAGTGTGGACAGAAATTCCGAGTCATACCCTCCAGTGGAACGCTTACGTGTATTTACATAATTAGTATCCGATGTAGTTAGACTTATGTCTGGGTTTGATGGGCACTTAGGCGGAGTTCTCTGTAACTTGGACATTACGCACAATATACTTGTGATATAAGGCAGGAGTAATAAGACAGAGATATTACACTTTCGCTTAGTCTTGAGGGGGAGAAGTGCGGGCTCCCTTCAGTTGCAACATACGATGCAAGAACGAGATAAACACAACTATTAATACTGATGAGTAGTAATGTTATACCGCACAGTAAAAACTCTTAACTGGGTAGTCACAAAGTTCAATTTTAATTAGTCACTATTAAAGGAATTATTTAGAAAAAAGATGTACACGTCCACTTCCAACAACTTTCACACGAGTATGTGGGCTTGGTAGCACGGGTCTTCATCCATTCCAGAATCGGCTTCCTTCCACTCGTTGCTGAGGTGGTCTGCCCTGAGCATCCTCACGGATACCACTCTCTTACTCTCTTGTCTAGTACAATGCTTGCAATCTTCAGGACAAGGTCTCCTTGACAATTCATCTGCGTTGCCATGCGATTACTAGCTGCGGTGTTCAATCACAGAGTCGTATTTCTGCTACTGGGTGGTGCCGTTAGCCGCACAACCCTCTCGAGATCGATCACCTTCCCTTTTTACAGATCGCTTAGGGCAGCTGGATCGAAGATGGCCCCTTTCCCCACAGCCGTAGCACCTTGGGCTGTAATGGTCGCGTGGTCGCGAACCGTAACTACTGCAACCTCCCTAAAGTAAAGGGAACGATGATCCTGCCGCCACCAGGTGGTGCCGTTAGCTGCACTACCCTTTCGAGATCGATCAACTTCCCTTTCTACAGTTCGCTTAGGGCAGCTGGATCGCAGATGGCCCCTTTCCCCCTCAGCCATAGCACCTAGGGCTGTATCTATTATTGCGGTCGCGAACTGTAGCTGCTGCAACCTCCCTGACGCGATGGGAACGAAGATCCTGCCGCACAGCTTCAACCTCAAGTGCATGGGCCAAGGCTTCCTTAAGCGTCACGTGGTGCCCTAGCCTCAAACAGCAGCTCTGACTTTAAGGTCGCGGATTCCATCGATGAATGTCCGCACCAGGTTCCATTCAATGAGCGCAGGTACAGACTGGTATGCTTTTCTAACCATCTTCTCCACCTCAAGGGCCCACTGCTGCAGGTTTTCGTTGCTGCGTTGCACGCGATCTGCGTGCGAAAGACGTATTCTAGGTGAACATCGCCATATCTTGCCTCCAATGCCTCAAGGAGCTGCTCGTAGGTCACATTCTTACCGATAGCTTCCAACACAGTTAATGCTTGGTAGGCCTAGGGTGAGTGCAGTCATGTCCTGGCTTTTATTCCAACCTTTCGCATCCATGAAGGCTTCAAACTGGATTTAATAAGCTGACCAGGAAGAAGTCCCCTCGAACGGTGGCACTTTGAACCCACGTAGCGAAGGTGTAGTAGCTACTACGGGAGCTGTAGTTCCATCCCCCAGTTTGAGGTCGTCCAGCGTTTTCTTCACGTCAGCCATCACATTGTCAACCCGATTGTTCACTTGGTCGATTTGGGTTTTAGCTTCCTTGATTTGGGTTTCAGCTTCCGACAAGCGGTTGTCATGTTTAGCAACCCTATCCTTCATTTCCCTTATTTCTTTCCCAAAGGTAGCGTATAGGTCCTTCATGAGGAGCATCTGCTCTTCCGATCGACGAGCCTGTTCCGCCTGCTGATCTTCCAACCGACGGGCCTGTTCGTGTTGTCCGCGCTGCAGCTGCTCTTCCAACCGACGGACCTGTTCCTCCGGTCGGCGGGCCTGTTCTTCCTGTCGACGGACCTGTTCCTCTTGTCCACCCCGTAGCTGCTCTTTCAAACGACGGACCTATTCCTCTTGTCCGCCCCGCAGTTGTTCTTTCAGCTGACGGACCTGTTCCTCCTGTCGGCGAGCCTGTTCCTCCTGCTGCTCTTTCAACCAACGGGCCTGCTCCTCCTGTCGGCGAGCCTGCTCCTGTAGCATCACCATCAGAGCACCTAAGTCCGGTACTGCAGAGGTAGGAGCTACTGACGGGCCTGCAGCCGGCAGCTGGCCCTCCGACGTCTGCGGCATTGCACCACCAAATCTTCTTTGGTCCGTCCCCTGCTGGCGTTGACTTCGGGTACGGACACCCTCCGTTTCCTCCTTAGGTAAAATCGGCATGATTTTATCCTACTTCTGACACCAATTGTTACGAGCTTAGGGTTCGTGACAATAAAAACTGCCGATTGAATTACCAAAATTGACACTTTATTTCCCGAACACCAATTAAAACTTAAAACACACTAATAATTATTCGCACTGATCACTTTAGTTCACTTTATTTCGCTCCGAAGCTTCGCTTGTTTCGCCAATTCAATACTGCCCCGATCGCGGGTTGCAGCGGCTTTAAATACACCTTTTCTACCGAAACATCCAGAATATTCCAGTAAATACGGGCGCCGAACGACCGGGCGCAGAAAGTTCGAGTGTGGGGCTTCTAAAAAGCTTAATTCTTCTGTTCGATACTAGATGGCGCTGTTGGTCGAAAGTTCAAGATTGACATTTTCTAGGAAGCCCTCCTCGCTCTGGTCCCCGACACTAGATGGCGCTAGTGCCAGGTACCTGACGTCAACTTAGGCGCGTAACAATATCAAATAGATCGCGCCAGACGTAAAATACCCAGACCGACGACGGGAAGCTGGTTCAAGGTTACGGAAACATTTGTTACTGCGATCGTCATACCGTCTGTCACGCGGGACAATTAAGATGAATCCCTAAAACGGAAGATGCCCATGCGCAGCCCAAGCCATGGCTTTTACGGGCTAATAAAGATGAAGACCTCATCTGTATACTTTTTTATAGGAAAAAGGTGACAAGCGAGCACACAGCCCACCTGATCGTAAGTGGATACTGTAACTCGTAGACATCTACATCTATCCTCGATTAAAAATCTAAATGGAGACACGTTGTCATCTCTGAGGACTAACATCGAATGCCTCGTACACAGTAGTAAAAAAAAGTCTCCGGTTCTTTATACTAATCATACGAAACACAGCAGCATTGAGCTGCTATTTTACGCTGGTATTCTGTGAGAACGTGGTCCTACCACGGTCGAGCCGACCCATTCACGCTACAACTATAATATGGCTGCAGCAAGGCTCTACCATGTATATATAACTACCACACTTATGATAACATACTTATGTCTTTTGCTAAACAGCTGAGAATCCACTGTGAAGCATTCCATTATTTCAGGGTTGGCATGTAGCATTCATGGTTTGAATTTGGTTGCTGGTGCCCTTAAACTTCAGGAGCTACTTACTACTTTGGGATTTGTCACTATTAGGTGAAATACTTCAAAAATATTGTGACAACGCATAATAAACTATATTACGGCAAAGTTTTTACCAACCTGTTTTTTGTTATTTTCAGGTGGATTGTGGATTACCATTCACTCGAATTCTACAAAAGAGAATTATAGGCGGGAGAGAAGCTAGATTCGCTGAGTTTCCTTGGCAAGCACATGTCAGAATATCAGAATTCCAATGTGGAGGTGTGCTAGGTAATTTCAGTTTTTAATGCGCATGATATGAATATACTTGCATGGTTTTCGAATACATCTACATAGCAGAATTGCTGCAAAAACATTTACGACAGTGTGACGTTAATGTACTTGTAACTCACCGCTGCATTTCAATAAGTATTCAAGATACTATATAGTAAAAAATACGGTATAATCATTAATACGAGTAATGTTTCGATTTGCCGAACCGAATGATTCGATTTTTTATGTCTTCCATACGGATTGGATTATGTGTAACATCCATATCACACTTATATATACCAGTAGTTTGGGTACACTATGCTCAAACTTGTTGGCGATTATATTATGTTTACTTATGATAAATATTCAAACTGTGTAATTCCAAATTCTAACAAGAAATCAACCGAAGGACCCAACTCGACTGGAAAGCGTTCGATATAATATTACGACACATCTACTCGTCACGTAAAGAAGCTACTATCGAATATACCTAGATGAACGTTACTACACTTAATCTCAGCGTAATCACGAAATAATTCTTGAGTATCTCTAACTTAAAAGTGATTAAAAAAAATTAAAAGATGATTCGTATATCAGAGAAGAAGTTAATTACTCTTAGTAACTCTGGGCAATCAATATGAAAATGCACAAGCTTGTGCAAAAAAACTTGGTCGGAATAATGTCTCTTCAAACATAATCCAAAATTAAAAAAAACTTTCCTCATTATCATCATTACAGCCCTTCACAAGTCCACTGCTGAACATAGGCCTCCCCCAAGGTATGCCACAAAGCACGGTCTTGAGCCACCTGCATCCATGGACTTCCTGCATGTCTTACCAGGTCCTCACTCCATCTAGTGGGGGGTCGCCCTACACTTCGCTTACCGGTACGAGGCTACCAATCGAGAACCTTTTTCCAATGGTTCTACTGCGGATATCCTCATTTCTAAGTTTGTACGGCCAGCAGTGAAGGACCACGTCTCGGTTCCGTAGGTCATCACTGGCAACACGCACTGGTTGTACAACTTAGTTTTCAGGTTTTTGAGATATACCTGACGAGAAAATGCGTCGTAATTTCCCGAACGCTGCCCAGCCGAGTTGAATCCGTCGATTGACCTCTCGGTCGAAGTTGGACTTACCTAGTCGAACTATTTGTCCCAGGTAAACGTACTCGTCAACAACTTCGAGCTTAGTGCTCCCAACAACTACCGGCATAGGTGTGATATGGACATTAAACTTTAGTCGAGTGTAACTAAGTGAACATACGTAAATTTTAGAAATCATTATGTGAACATATCTCCTACAAACACTGCGCACGATGCACTCAGAATGTACCTAGGGTGACCATAGAGTTGATGCATGATCTAGTACAGAACCAACCAAACTATCAAATAGTCGGAGTTGCGAGAGGCTTGGATAAAATTTTCCGTTACACAATAAAAAAATATATAAATATATAAACCCTATGGTTCAGATGCTTTTTTGAGTAATATACTCATACAGTGCGCAGAACAAAAATTTTGAATCAAAATATACGCCCAAATCCTTAAAAATCTCATGGGGCAGAGGCTGACTATTAATAACAAACTTAAAATCCAGTTGATTGTGTTAAGTAATAAGGGTTGAAGATTAGTTGATAACTAAGTACTTACTGATAAACAGAAATAGACACAAAAACTTTTCATTCAATATAGATTATAAATAATACCTTCTGAAATTCACTCTTTTGTTTAATTATATCTAATCTTTTGTTTAAAAAATCTCGGTCCTGGGAAGAATTTTTAAGAAAAATAACAGCTTATAATCATGTATGTTACACAATTAATCAACACAAAACAAATTAGAAATATTTTGGTAACGATCAACTCATTCCCAGGGGTTAAATATCATCGATAAATTCCTTAATATTATAACAAATTCATATTTAAGGACATACAATTAGCATAACACCAATCGTGAAATATATCTAATCTTATATAGGTCGATGAGGAAAAAATGCAAAGTATATGGCAGTCCCCTACTTAATAGAGTGGTGACCTCATAAGACATACCCGAAAATTTAAATGGAGGTGATTTAGGACAGTGTCTTGTTGTTTTGACATTCGTTGAGTGAGGCATATGAACAGCAATAGAGTAACCAAAAGCAGTGATAATGAAGATGATTATTATTCTATAAGAATGTTTTCCTTCCATAATCGAGCTGACCCATTCACGTCGTGATATATTTTCATCATTCAGCCATGATAGACACTACCATGAAATCGACGACAACGATTATAGATTCCTTCTTTTTATATCATAAATCCAAATAAGTAACCTTTTTGCTTTTGCTTGCTTCTATTCCACGTTTAAATAAAATTGCCAACAGACTGAGTAACCCATCTACCGTTTTAAGAGAAAGGGTTCACAGATGTAATATTGCCCTCTATCACATTATAGTGTCACGTTGGTTTGTCGCAACTGCGGCTCACTGCGTATCACGTGCCAGGCCCCGGGACATCGTCGTGTGGCTCGGCGCACATGACACCACTGCCGGAGCGCACACCGCGCGAAAAGTGGGGTATGAATACGAATTTTTGAACTATGCCTTAAGTATTAAACACTGCAATTAAAATGTTTTATGTGTTTGTTCATAAGTAGAAGAATAATCACAACTTGTAAACAGGTTTCACCAATTATCACATTTTTTATTCTAAAAAATAAATTTTCAAAATGTTAGGACTATTTTTTTTATTATGTATAATTTTTAATTTAAGTTACAAAAATTATAATAAAGAACTTAACTAAAATAATAATTAAAATTATAATATTTACGATTAAAACTAATTATATACTAATATAAAAGAAGAAACTATAATATAGAAAATCTAAAACTAAAAATTTAAATCGTCAAAAAGACCTGCTCCGTGGTATAGTGCCAAGAACGCTGGCTGCGTTTCTCCGCTGAATAGCTATACTTAGCCTTTGAGCAAGGAAAGAACCAGCCCTCTTATCACCAGCAGCGACGACCAGTCGTGGATACAGTTCCTTTAGAAATTTCATTGCACGTGGACCCCACGGACCGATAGTCTCTACAGCAAATGGCACAAATATGTAGTCATTTCTCAAAGACTCATATTTGCGCCATTTACTAAATAATAATTGTCCACATTATGAACCCTTCAAGCGCCATAAAAATCCCATGCAGTCGCATGCGCCCGGCAAATCCCTAGCGGTAGCATGCGACCGCACCCACCCACAGCCCTTAAAACCATTAAACTTATATTTAGAGACTACTTTTCTATGAAGAAGTTTAGCATTATAAAATCTATACAAAATTCTCTATCTTGTGATCTAAACAAAAGTCAGGTTTTACTTCATTACAAAAATATTTTATTATATTTTGATAACAAAAAAAACATACCGAGTGGATGTCGGCAGCGTGAAAATAACAATTATTTCAATATATATTACTGGAAATTATTTACGTAAAAAGGTAAATTATATTCACACAAAAACTTTCATTACAATTTTATAATAAAACACTATAGTAAAACACTAATAAAACACTAGAAAAATCCAAAAATCAACACAGTAACATTCACGCGAAAATGGGGTACGAAATGAACATAGATTATAAATAAATATTCATAGGATAACAGTTTTTTTATTACACTAGAAGATAGAGTATTTCATATTGATTATATAATGCCAAACTTCTTCATGGAAAAGTAGTCTCTATATATAAGTTGTTATGGGTTAGAGTGCTATGGGTAGTGCTACCTCATGAGACCGCTAGGGATTTGACGGAATATGGCCGCGGTCTCATGAGACCTCTAGGGGGTTGAGAGATTAAGGGTAATACATGTAAAATGTGCTGGGCCTATGCCTCACCTTATTTCTGGGATGATAATAAAATATAATAGTATAACATGGCAAAATAAAAATAGATAATAATCGAATATAATAATATAAAAAAAATATTTTATGTAATAAACACAGGATTATCCAAAAATGTGAAATGTGCTGGGCCTATGCCTCACCTTATTTCTGAGATGATAATAAAATATAATAGTATAATATGGCAAAATAAAAATAGATAATAATCGAATATTATTATATTAATAAAAATAGATCTATTTTTATTTATATAAAAAAACTATTTTATGTAATAAACACAGGGTTATCCAAAAAATTCTTCATCCACTGTTCCAATTTCGGATGACGCAACCAGATCGCTACGATATAGCCCTATTGAAGCTGTCCAGGCCTATAACATACACTGGACACATTTTGCCGATCTGCCTGCCAGAGTTGGACTTGGAACTGCGAGGCAAATCCGGCGTTATAGCCGGTTGGGGTAAAACCGATGCGAGCAGTGGGCATACTGGGACCAATTTGCTGCGATCGGCCACCGTTCCTATTCTTAGTAAGTTGAAATGAAACTCTTTAAATCACATTATATAAGTAAGTAATATTCTTTTTATAAACTCTGCTTTTGCAATATTAACTTCAGAATAGAAAAAAAAGAATAGAATTAAACAATTTTTAAGTATTATCGCTTTTAATTTACTTATTTTGAATTCCCAACGTTTCGGGTGCTTCACAGCACCCATGGTAAAGGTGGAGCCTGAGATGTTTGACTCCCAATGTCATAGTTAAGGAAACTGAAGGTAGCCGGACTAATCCCGTACATTCGCACATACATTTATTTAATATACCTATTCGCGTAAATGTAAGAAATCATTATTCAGAATGTAAAGCTCTTTTATTGTTTAGTTGTTTGAAATCAGTGATTCAAACTAATAAAAAAAATAATGATCAAAATCGGTAAATCAGCGTACTTAACTTACATACAAAAGAGCAAACATTCTAATTGTTAACTTACTCCTTTTTTTGAACATGGCTAAAAAAAGTCAAATAAAATAGATTCCTGTGGAGTTTCTTTCTCCGCTCAGAAGAACCTCATTTCGAAATAACAGTAGATTTGGTGTATAATATAAAATTAAAAATAAAATTATCATATGCATAAAAAGTTCAACTACAAGACTTTTGTGTTATAGGGTTCACTCTATGCTTGTACTTACTCTTAGGTCAAATCGAACAAATATAATGTATATAATATATAATTAATTTTATTTCATTTAATTTCTTTATTAGTCTTTTAAATCCACTTGGCGGTTAATGCATGTCTTGAAAAAACTGCTACTGCTCACAACGCTGCAGGTGAATGATTGCAGTTCCGATACCCTGCTCTCGTAATGCTTCCCATCACTCAATGTGATTTGTGTTCGGCCTTATTGGTTTCCCAAAAAAAAAAAAAAAAAAAAAAATAAAAAAAAAAAAAAAAAATATAAAAAAAAAAAGTAGGTAAAAAAAACAGAGAGGGCCCAGCAAAGCCGCGGGATAGCGACGCTGGGTATGGAGGTGTTTCTTCTCTATCGGCCTTGTTTGTCCATTCAAATGGTGTATCGAGTGCATAGGAAGTTGATAATTTATCTAAGAGCTTGGTATATTTCCTATTTGTCCCCAGCGGTGGCTTGGTATCATAAGAGAATCCATCCTATCCCGAGGACATCCAATGAGTTGCGATATACCTATGTCATATCTATACCAAATGTAAAATATCTGGACCGGCTATAAGAATCAGTGTTGAAGGTGCAATACATCCGATTCTACGAATGTTATTCCACCTATCAAACGTGGTGATAACTGCAAACTCCTAGAGACTAATAAGGAGAATAAAATGCTCGCTTTCCATGTTTGGATTGACCATCGCTGGGAATAATCAGGTGGGGGTTAAGCACTGCCATACAGATAAAAACTGATTCGAACCCAGATCCAGTGATAGTTACACGGATTTTTTGCGACTGTGATTGGGAAAACTAGGCTGTTAATATATAAGTTTTTCGATTTTATTTGATAATTTGCATGCACGAAGTACTATGAGCCGCAATGGAGCTCTTAATCCCTAGTCATTCATAAAATAGTAGACGTGAAATTATCTCATATACTGCTATATTTGGAAACGCGTATTGAATTAGTTCAAATCGCTTAACAGGTACAATTAAGTTATTAGAATAACTCACTAATTACCATTAAAGTTATCAATTAGATGACTATATATATTACGCAACATAATTATAACTGGTTTATAAACAGTTATAGTTATGTTGCGTAATAGGTACATAATAACTCTTTTAAAATTTTACATAATAGCTAAAGAATTTTCTTTTAGATACCTACTAATAGTTAACGTTAAAGCAACAGCCTATTAAAAGCCTACTACTGAATACAGGCCTCATCATAGGTTGACACGTATTGAGAATAGTTTCCATAGTTGCTACTTACGTATGCTCGTTTGCAACCCCGCCCACCCACCATCCTATAAAAAATCCCAGTAGTGCCACCACAGGGTCGTCAACAAAACATCTGGCATTATGTGGGTATCGTAAGAGACAACTAAATTAAAAATTAAAAACATCTTGTGGCCTTCAAGTTTTCAGCACTTGCAACCCTTGCACTTATAATTCAATGATAGTGTCATTAAAGGTGCTAGACGTCTGGAACTACGACTGACAATCCCCATTCCGATTATAGCAAATCCTGCTGTGGTAGGATAATAAAAGACTGTAAGGTACGGTCTAATAAAAGACTGAAATAGATGAGGTTATACAACATTTTTGAAACATACCTTGTTCTTAGTGGAAAATAAAAACGCCTCCAGAAACTTGATTTAATGAAGAAAAAATATTTTAACTCAAAATTCACAAATGCCACGCAAATATATTAAATGCGTGGGGCATAAAGAATTAAAATATAATTCAAGTATGAATATTTAATAGAGATACGTTGTGTATATTATCACATATTCTTATTCTAAGAGCTACATTAGGCACAGTCTTAAAACTGTAAAAACGTAAGCGTCCTAGAATGCGTAAATATTTAAAGACTGTTACGTTTATTTAATATATGAACATTCATGTTAACAGGTACAGAACAATGTATTAACTGGCACCAAAGTAAACAGATCTCTGTGGAGATACACGCAGAGATGATCTGCGCAGGACACTCAGATGGACACCAAGATGCATGTTTAGGTAAACTAACAAGAACCAACAATCACAGTGTAAAAATATGTTAAATGAGTTATAACATTTAACATACTTTTACAAGTAAAATGAAGCTGTATATTTTAAAATTGTATAATGTAATATTTTAAAATTTGTCATTAAAATCGTATTTAAATTACACATTAACAACCATTTGTATGTCCACTTCTGGACATATATTTTCCAATAATGTAAGCGGCACTGTGACCAGTCTGTGACTAGAGTTTGTAGATAAATTTCCCACAACCAGACGCCTCCACCCGCGTGTAGTTAAAATAAGCACTTTGAATAGAAGTTAGCACATTATTTGTTATTATAGCGTACAAAATATGGCCTATACGAATAAACAAATATATTTAAAAAATTTAACAGATATTAATAGTAAATCGAAACAAAATAATTGAAAGTAGAATCATAAAATTTTTACACCAAGTCATTCGATTTTATTTTTTTAAAAACGAATAAATTGTTTATTAATATAACTATTAACTTATTTACGGAAGGAAGGCTCTAGTAGCAAACCTCTTATCAATTAACCCACTATAGCACTCATGCATGAAATTGATGTATTCGGGATCCCTGTTTTGTAGCAATGATTTAGGAAACCATAATATGTTCAGTATAGTATCAGTATTGTAGTATAATATGTTCAATAAACTCGTAATGAGTTGCAATCACAAAGATGCAACTGATAAAACTGTAAGTTTCAAACACCTTAAATGAAATTAATTATTAATTTACTTCTTCTGTAGGTGACTCTGGTGGACCACTAATTGTTCTAGACAGTGGGCGATATTACCTTGCTGGTATCACCTCTGCGGGCTTCGGCTGTGGCGTCGATCACCAACCTGGCATCTACCACAACGTAAAAGTAACTGCTGGCTGGATTAGAGGCGTTATATCACCTTCTATTAACTACATAGACTTTTAGTACTATTTTTAAATACAAATGATTACAGCGGTGTGAAAATGAATATTTATACCTAAGCATTTTAAAAATAAAATGAATAAATACAAATATTTCTTACTATCGAAAGTATTATAATAGATAATTTACCATTATGTCTAATTTATCGGCTTTTTAAGATAACAATATACAAGAGGATGTAAGAAATTTTAGGGAATAAATTTTGTACAAATATTTATACGTGGTAGAGCCAAGCTGCAGCTATGTTACGGTTGTAACACCAAGGCAGGGCATTCGAGGCATTCCATCTTAGTTCTCAGGGGTGACAATGCATCTGCATTTTGATTCTTAATCCACGACCACAAGGCCACAGCACCACTTACCATCAGGTGGACTGTATGCCTGTTTATCACCCTTATTCTATTAAAAAAATACGTGATCATTTATGTTAGTTTTATTGCTTGCACCAATACAGTAATATCCTCCAGACCCAATTTCGGCCACGGCGGCCTGCCTCAACGGAGCATAGCCATCGGCCCAGAACAGGATTATAGTGCTCAACAGCATGCGTAAGCACAGGTGCACTCTATTCCCTCACTCTCATAATCCGATGGGACGGTAAATCGACACTACCGGAGAGAGATCAGGCGCAGGACCAACGGCTTTACGTGCTTTCCGAGGCACGGGGGTAAGACACCGCAAACTTCCTGACTCCGGGCAACTACTGAGAATTTCTTGACGGAAAAACTCAATAATTAATTTTTTGCCCCCCCCCCCCCCCCCCCCCAGGGATTCAAACCCAGGACCTCGTGATCAGCAGTGGCACTACTACAACCACTAGACCAACGAGACAATCCACCAATACAATATGATTTTACCGATAATCAGAAATAAAAAGCGTCCACATCTTCGATTGCTAGTATATTATACTTAGTATACGAGTCACAGTATACGACGGGTTTATTATACGGTCAACTTTTACCGCAGGAACATCTCGACAGCGTAGGACATATTAATGGTTATGACATGAGTGTACTTGCAACACGAAGGCACCTTATCCTTGTCTACTCGTATTTGATGAAACACTTTTAAAATAAGAGGACCGCCTGACAATAAAATCGCTACAATCAAAACACTATAACTAAAATATTCATTTTTTAGAAGTGAGTTTGTTAACGCACACAGTTTACCAGATATTAAAAGTATGCATTACCCCATGCCAAATACCACTAAACGTCTAAAGACGACAAAATCTATTCTCGGATAAGAATCAAAATGCAGATGCGTTTCACCCCTGAGGACTAAGAACGCCTATTTCCGGGTAAATAGGGTCTCCGATTCTTGTCACTCACTATACGAAACACAGCAGTATTATGTTACTATTTTATGTTGGTATTCTGAGTGAGCGTGTCCATCCCTGTTTGATGCGAACAATCCATATTGTAGCCATAAAAATGTCATGTGGCTATACCACGTATTAAGTAAAATGTTAGCTCCAGCCGACAATTGTAAACTAAATTATTTAAACCGTACAGGAAAATATAGTTCACAAAAATATTATAGTCTATATGGTCGAATTAGTTTCGGAAATTGCCACATCAATAATTACCACAACCGTAAACAACGGGATTTACAGTATCAACTAGAATTGAACTCGGAACTCTCGATTTTACAATGAGCACCGAACTCCTGAGCTGTCAAAGCTTTTTATTTATTTATTATACTTAAAATATTGTATTTTTGAAAAATACATACAAATACATAAATACTTACACCTGTCACCCAGAGGTGTATGCAGGGACTACGGACTTCCACTTGGCACGATCCTGACACATCTCTCTCGCCTCCTTTACATCCTGTCCGTCCACATCTACTATATATTTGGTCGATAAAAATAAATAAATATAAAAATAAACAAATATGTAACTATAAATTATTACACCTTAGCATATTAAAATAACTTGTTAATTTGATCTCCTTGAATGTATTTATATTGTTATTGTGCAATTGTTACAAAATAAATGACTAAATGAATATTAGGTGATTTTTTATTTTATTATCACTTGCCATGTACTGTGAAGAAGAAATATATAAAAATGAAAATTCCGAAAGAAATGTTAGGCTCAGAAGGGCTAGAAGCCAAAGCCGTAAAGCTAATTAAATAAATTAAATAAAAGCACTTGCCGTGAAGTGCCAGCGTAAAAGAATCAGCTACCCTCATATCATCCCGTAAATGTCATATGAGATGACAGAGGGAAATGAAACAGGAGACGGGCATCAGCATCTACCAATAACAGCTCGAAATAATCAAAAATCGGTTGCCAACCAGCCAAGCATGGCAACTAATGGCATATATCCCACCAATAAAACAATCTTCGGACGAGGCCATTTGATAGGCTGTAATGAATAAATGGTATATGAGTTTTCTCACAAAACAATCATCACAAACTATAATTTCCTGAGTAGTCTGTAGGTACACAGGAAGTTATCGTAAACAAGCTGTTTATACCTAATCGGGCATTTTAGTATTTTTGTTTCTGTGATTTGGTTATAACTTGTACCGGTTCACAATATTTATTTTAAATTATTGTTATACTAATTATAAAAACTGACCCGTTTCGTCTATCTATATATTGTTTTATTTTAGATATTATTTTATACTTTTATCTTTAACGTTTTTAGTTAATTAATCATCACTCATCAATCACAAAAAGGAAGCCGTCTCAGTTTCAGCTTCAAACAGGCTTAATCACTTTCGATGTTGAATAGACATGGCGTCTTCTATAAGGAAACCAGTTTTTAAAAAAGCTTAAGGTAACTTAAAACCCTTAGCGCGTTCTATATGATTCAATTTACATCGTTGCCATGACCAGTCCAATCAACTTACCTTACTTACCATATAAGTATTAAATTTGGACAATATTGTTGAGAAATAGAGTTCATATTTGAATGCTGTTGATGGAACGGTACTCGAGCAAAACGCATTGCAAATGTCAAGCAAGCAGGCAAGCACAGTCATTTAGAATGTCGCAACGAGGCGACGTCAATTTCTAAAATAACAGTTCCACGTTTAAAAGATTGTGTTTTTCTGAATTACATTTGGTGAAATTATCTATATTTCGTTTACAATTTTTTTTTAAAATGGTGAACATACTGTGGATTTATTCTTTGATGGCCATGGTATCGGTTTTGGATGGACAGACCTTGGATGGTGAGTAGTGAAAGGCGTATTTTGATCACTTATCCGTATTATACTTACAACATAATTATTATATTACGTATAATGATACCAAATACACATTTTTGCAAGGAGAAAGCGTAAAGAGTATTACGAAGCAGACGCTAAGTAGTGTGTGAATTTAGATCTACATGCCAGACAATATTATTCTGCTTGCAACTTACATCATTATTTAGTTTATATTAACATATAAAATTTGTTAAATAATCTGATTGTTTAACGATTTTCATATTTAATTTCATATTTAACAACAAACATTAAGCATTCTTCTCATGGTACGTTTTGGCGGCATCTTGAATACATCGTTATACACTTGATTTAATTCTTAAAAATCTCATAAAGCTCTTGGTTTTCTTCACTTTATAACTTCTCTTGGTACAAATCTCCATGTCAAGGCAGTCATGAGACTGACAAAACATAAAATTAATAAAACCTATTTTTTAGAGACCTCCAAATTTACAACAAAAGACAATACAAGCATTTAATGTTTCACCGCCGAAAATTATTTATATTATGTCAAAATTTATTAATATTGGAATTATAAAATCACATGAAATATTTCCAAATGAGAAAAATAAAATAAAGTTGCTTTTATTCAATATGGCCTTAATATAAAAATAACAACAGCCCTCTCATTATGACGCGCATTCATGCGTAACTCTTTCCAGATTCCAATTTGAAATCAAACCATCTCCTTGTTTACATTTATAAGTACAATAGAAGACACACGCATTATTCACAGGAAGCAGACAGCTTTCCATTTTTATATCGTTTTAGTATTGTTGCGATTTTCAGTTATTATTTTTCTTCAAACAACTTAAAAAGTCATAGATTATTGTGAAGAACCACAGTTTACCTTGAATTGACGCCGTAGTTCATTGCACTGTTGACAGTTATAAGTCGTGTTCCAACTTACAAGTTACGCAATCACAAAAACAATAAAATTTTGTCTTAAACCACGTCTAAAATTATTTTTAGACAGAATTCTCTTTCTCTTCATCTTTGTCCCTAGTTAGTGTCCTGTTTTAAGCTGTTGTACATGACTGCTCCTTTGGTTTAATAGTCGTTAGCGTAAAATCTGATCAAGTGGTGCGGGCTTCAAATCCAAATTCGGGCTAAAATCAATAATTGGATTTCTCTGTCAATATATTCTCAGTAGCAACCCGGAGTCAAGAAGACGACAGTATTTCAACCCCGTGCTTCGGAATGTACGCATTACGCAAAGCTGTTACTCCTGCGCCTGATCTATTTCCGGTCTATACTTGAGCACACACTCTTGCGGTATATGTAATCCTGTCCTGAGCCAGTCTCCGTTGAGACCGATCACCTTGATCGAAATTTGGTCTAGAAATTATTATATTATAAGAGTTAAAAGATATTAAATGAGTTATAAGTATACAAAATTTGTGGACGTAACGAAAATCTATTTAAACATCGATCAAACTTTTGGATACATGTATATCACGTAACAATAACTAAAGACTTTTTATAATATTTGAGTGGAATACAAGCTTATAGTTCAGACACAATATATTTACTTCATAGTATACACACAATATACAAATAACTTAAAAAAGGCAATAGATGCGTTGTCACCCCTTAGGACTAAAACGAAATATCATACGGCCTACGTACTGCTGCTTGATTGCAGAAACACCTAAGAGGGTGCCACCTACACAAACGGACTTCAACGTTTGATGACATTTCCGATGTGACAGAAAGTTAGTTTTATGTTTGACATTTATGAAATGGGTCGCTTTTTGCTTGAACAAAGTTGAGAAACATT